CAAATGGAAGTAAATAATCAGGGAATGTTCATGAAATTCTCGTTTGACGTTTCATTTCTCTTATCTTGTTTATCTAAATAATGTGATAAATTCAGTCAGTATTTCTCTGTAACAGGAAAAGTAAATTTATTTGGTAAATAATCATCAAATTATGAATATAGTGATGCATGCTTAGCTACTCTAAGCTTAATTTTAGCATAAGGAATATTATGACTACATGATAATTAAATTCTGCGCATTTTTTCATAAATTAATTTATGTTCAATATTTATAGTATATACCTGTGTATACAAATTTATATACACGAAATGTTTATTAAAATTGTTTAATCCTGAATAAATTGTATTAGAAAATTACCCATATAAATAAATAATATTTTAAGATACGAGTATTTATGCACTCTACGATTTTCAACATATAAAATGGATCGTATATAATAGTTTAAAATAACTTAACATTACATTTTTTGACTTTACGTTAGTAGAATTGCTTAAATGCATATCTTTTTCTGCTGTGTACTTAGTATAAGTATCAAAATGTAGGTGATAAACAGTAATATTTTTATTATTTTCTATATAATTTAAATATATCTTCTATAGTATATAGTCAGAAAATTGAATTTTTTACTTATAGTATTTAATGTCGTATATAATTAATGAGTAATTTAAAAATAAAAATTTAATAAATAAAAACATTTATCTTGATATGAAAACTTTTATTTCCCGAATTTGTTTCTAAAATAAATTGAACTTATTTATAAATATAATTTTCTCTTCTTAAATTAAGAACTGTGTATTATAAAATTTTTTTTAAATAAAAATTTAGGACATTGAGTCACTGAACAGAAAATTAAGCATGCCAATTGCATTATTTAAGTGTGAATTAAGGATACTTCATTCACAGGTTTGATGGTAAATCCAGTACAGAGGTAAGCGAGATTGATAAAAAGCGAGAGATAAGAAGGTAAATACTTTTTATGTAAGGAATAATTCGATACAGATATGTACATGCTTCGTATAAGATTAAAACGTTGTTAAATTGGCATATTAATTAAATTTATAGGTATGAAGTATAATTGGCTGATAGTTAATTTAATTGAATTGAAAATTAATTAAATCGGAAATATAAAAAATCTAACTCGCAAAAAAACTAAAGAACTATGGACACTTCCTATGAGCATATAAATATTATTTTAAAAAATTCAAAGAAAGAAAAAAAAATATTGTCATAGAAGAAAATTTTGATAATATATTGTAATAGTTAAATGTATAATAATAAGAATATAAAAAATTGCAATAAACGTTAACAATACATGCTAATGAATGTTAAGTGGTTCCGTATAAGAATATATACATATATATACTTACTATCTGAATGTATGTTTAGAATATGATAGATTTATGGCTTTATAGAAATCAATAACATAAAAATGGTTCGTAGGAATAAGTTGTAATTATGCGAAGAACTAGAAAAAATAACAACAAATTGTAGCAATTGTTCTATATTTATTAACATTTTCTTTCAGAGGCGGTCGATTAAGAATCATATACAAGTAGTCACTCAAAAAGCAAGTAGGTCAATTCCAAAGAAATAGTAGAGAATTCGCGAGTCTTGTAACAATTTATCTCAGAATTCTCTATTTTACTAAGTTCACTGAAGTATTATAATGTTCTCTCATGGGATTTCAGTTAAGGACTTTCTCGATATTTTTAAATATTTCAGTTCTATAAATAAATGACTAATTACATATTGAGATGTTTTTAAAAAAATAATAAAATATTTCTCATATACAGATATTATATTTTAAATCTATTATTATCTATATTACAAATCTGTAATCTTTATGAGAATTTCCATATAACATTTTATCATATTTAGATATATTTCAATAATTATATTTTATAAAACCTAGTTTAAATTACATAGTAATTTTTGAAAAAAATTAAAAAAAAAGATTGTATGATAACTTTTTAATATTTAGATTATTACAATTAGCAATACAAAGATATTATAGTTAATATCAATTAGTGTTTAAAAATAATTTTCTCCAAGCCTAACATCTTAAATTTAATAATCTAATAGCTATTTCATGACAAAATTTATACTTATTTTTAACCAATTAAAAAAACATATTTCATTCATATTCATCATTATTTTTTAAGAGTATAAAAATCTTTATTTAAATTTTTCAATCATGTAATATTGAAAATAGGAAAAAAAAGAAAACAAAACATAAATTTCATTATAAGTTTTACATTAGATTAAATTATAAACTAACTTAAGCAATGTGTATTTTGAATATATATTATATTATCTATTTTTCATTAATTTTGTTATATAAAATTACTTGTTTGTATAAGTATTAATACTTAATGAAAAGTTTTTATGTTTAACAAATGCTTCGATATTTTTAATAATTTACGTTATCATATTGTGCATTACTATGTTCAGTATTTTTAAATAATATTAACATTAAATTAATATTATTCTTCATTAAGTACAATGAAAATTTGAAAATAAATAAACTTAAATTTTACATGATTCTGTTTTTCAAGAACAAATCCAAAGATATACTGATTTTATTAAATGAACGAATAAGTATTCATTCGTCCTTCATAATCCTCGTATGATTCCCATTTGAAAATATATACAACACCATTATATACAAAGAAACACAATTAAATAATTAAAGATTTAAGGGACTTTTAATTAATTTCTTACCGTGAGGAATAATAAATGGCTGAATTGTACTTTGATATTGTCACTCATCGACCACGCGAATTATTCATCAGTAATTAAATTTACACACAAATGGTTTTATTTTATAAAAAGCTCTCATTCTTTCAAATTATTCAAATTGTATATAAAGGTTAACTGAAAATTGAAATTTTGGAAACCAATGAAGGATTGAAGAATTTTTATTAGATTATGTTTCAAAATATAAAGATTTTAACTATTAGTTTATAATTTAAATTGATTTTATGTATAACCAAAATATAAATATATATATTTATACAATACATGAATTTATATATACATAATCCTTCACGTATTTTCTTATGTTAAACTAAGTATGCAAGTTAATTGGTTAAGTGAAACAAAAAGTAAGTATATGTCTAATACGATTTTATGAAAAAATAATTAATATAAATGATAAAAATGGGTAACTACTTCAGAACAAGCTTATAACGCTTACATTCATCGAATTAAACCATTCTCGAGATGAAAGATAAATCATTTGCATTTAATTACATTACAAGGATTATACTCAAAATACAGCTTTCTTTTACTTATCTAAGAATATACAGGTTTCATTTGCACCAGTTTCTTCTTTTGCTTCTTTTCTTTAATTTTATTTTTCGCTGGTGCTTCTTCTTTATTATCAATTTTATTTATTTATTTAGTTTTTTCTAGTTGTCTGTTCCTTTCGTTTTCTTTTTTGACTTAGTACATTTTTATTTCACTAAGATTCTGCACTTCTTAATTTCATTAGTTTTGTTTGTCAACTTCTTCATTTTTCTTTTCCGCCAGTCGCTCTTCAATCTTTGTTTTGTACTCTTTACAAACCGTGCTTAATTAATTTCATTACCTATTAACGTTTTATTCGACTAAATATGAAGATCATACTATTCTCCTTTGACCTTCTCTTCAATTTCTATATAATTTTTTCACAAGATTATTCATTATTCAATTCTTTTTCAATTTATAATAATATTTATTTTTAAAAAGAATGCAAAAAGAAAAGAATTTAACTAAATAATTGAATTTACTAAGATTATTAAAATAACTAAATAAACATAATTATATTTGATTATAAATATTTATTTTATTGTATATGAAATTAATGTATATGTTGAAATATCTATTAATAAATATTTTCGTGAAAATGTCTATAATTATTATATATGATATAAGAATTTTATAAAAATAAATTATAATTTTGATTTTTCTTCTACATCCCTTATTAGGATAAATATTAACAAATTAAAATTATTTGTTCAAAATTTTATAATTAATATTACGAATTATTGTGAATATAAAAAATTTTCGTCAGCAAACTTTAAAAAATTTTAATATATATTATATATAAAAAACTAAAAACTATTGTTTCAGTTAATATATTTTAAATATACTTCATAATGTTTTAATTGACTTATTCTGTGGTATAATCATACATAAAAGACGTGAATAATAATTTAGAAATTTAAAATATAAAATCTTACTTTTAATACAAATAACTTATATTATATAGTAAAATGAGCAAAACCTTAACAACTATATTTGTAATATTTTTTCTTCTTATTTTATCACACATCAGAGATTATTTGTCGTTAATGCTGACATTTTAATCGAATTATCCAGTTTTCAGGACATTTCGCGTCGAGAGATTAAAAAGTGACTTTTTTAATTTGCGTTATCCTGTCGTGTTGCAACTGCGTCACCGATGATCTGCTGTTCTGATTCCGTCAAATCTCATTGTAAGCTTTAAATATAAATATGTGTAATTCAATCGATTGGTAATCATTATATAAATATTATTCACATTGAAGATTCTTATGAACGCATCACTATAATTTTTTTTACGAAATCTAATAATATATTTATTTTATTTTTATTGATTTTTTAAAGTTTTATTTTTATCATTGATTTTAATTATATTATATAACTGATTTTTTTTTATTTTCTAAAATTTTATTTTTATAGGAATAAAATTTTTTTGGAATGATTATTAAATTCAAATAATTAAATTTCTCCACGATTTATTACAATTTCGATATACTATGTGATAAAACTATTAGTACATAACAAATGTAATATATAATATTAGAACGAATGAAGCCCTTGAAGTTAAATTTTATATCAACGTTAGTTAATAAAGTTTTATATTAATTATGTAAAAAGAAACAGTTGTTATATATGACATATTTACAAATCTCATAAATAATTTATATGGTTCAATATTAATCTACTATAAATATTCACGTAATAATTTGTTTTAGAGTCGAATACTGGAAGATGCATCAATCATGTGTAATTCTTGGTCACCGAGGCATAATGTAAGTTAAAATATTTCTATTTATTTAATTCTATTTATTCTATTCTATTTATTCAAAATTTTAATTCAATATTAAATGACTTTTTCGATATTTAAAATAAAATTTAAAATATTAATAGATTCCTTCTGTTTTTCAATTTACAAGGAATGAGATACATTTAGCTCAAATAATATTACTTTTCATTTTTTCTTATTTTCTAATTTATTCTGAGCAACATATGTTTAAACATATTATTTTAATGATTTAAATAAAAATAAAATGAACTTCACATGGTTTCCAATATGAGAAAAAACTACACATATATGTTACTAACAGAAATACAACTGAACAGTCTTGTAATATTTATGTTTTGTCGAAGCAAGAACTTCTAACTTGCGGTTACTGTTATGATAGGAGAGGAAATTGATTATTTCAGTATACGAGAAAGTACTTATTTAGAATCATGTCTTATATTTCTTTTCAATAAAATAAGAAAGTGGCACTTACATTTCTTTCGAGTTTGAACTATCACTACAGGTTTTAATGTGTCTGCCGAATTTGATAAATTAAAAATTTAATAAATCATATAATCGAGTGTATGGCCGCATTATCTATTATGATTTTTATCGATGTTATGCTAAAATATTTGAGTTTAAATTCCGTAAGTATAATAAAGAAAAGTTACTTTTAAAAAAATGTTTAAAAAATTATTTTAATAAAAAAAATGCTTTGACAATTGTATCTGAAAAACAGGTTCAATATGTTGGATATGTTATCTGCAAGATATTTATTATATTGGAAATTATAATCAATGTAGAGTATCAATTTTTATTTATTATACAATAATTCATAAATTTTATTATCAACCATTATCTTATTATTAATTATTATTTATTTAATTGAGTAAAATATAATAAAAAATTAGATATATTTTTTATATAAGAAAAACAAACATTAGAAATGATTTTATTTACCAAAATAATTTATGTATTTAAAAACTATTAAATATTACATATTGCTTATTTTATTATTCAAAAACGATTTTATTAAAATTTACGTTTTTACAGAAATTTTATTGCATAATATAATAAATAATTTAATAAAAATAATATTATGTTTATTACTACATGAATATACGTATGCGTGCGCGCGCGCGCGTGTGTGTGTGCGTGTGTTTGTTTGTTTGTTTATGTGTTATGTGACATACTTAATATACTTGTAAATATGTGTGTATATTCTACATATAATATTTATGAATTTAAAAAAAGGATAATTAGTAGAAATAATATCTGTAAAATATAGTAAATATTTTTTACATATAACACGATTTGTATAAAGCTTCATAAATAAATCTAAATATTCTTGTATATTGTTAAAATTATTCAAATCTTTTCATTAAAATATATATTAAATAATAATTACTATATTTATGAAAATTCCTATTTCAAAAGAGTTGATAATTTCTTTGCTTTTAAATATATTTCCATCCAGCTAATATAGGTCAAATAGTATAGTAAATAAATACCGATTTTAGATGTTTGCAATCAATAAAATTTATACATCTATGTAAATATATCTAACAAAAATGAATACACTATCATTTTAAATAATGAAATAATTCATTCATATTTTGTGACATGATAAAATTAGTACTCAATACAGTTTTACATTATAAAGTCATCCAACAATTGTACAAATCAAAAGTGTTAACGACTTGTCATTATTTTTATTTATTGCATTAAAAAATAATCAATACAATATCTGAATAATTCTTATATTTACAGTACAAATATAATTTTTCATTCTAAATATGATAACAAAAACCACTGTTATTTTAATTTACATAAAATATAAAACAATTATATGATAGTAAATTTATAAATATTACTTTAGAAACTTTTTAATATAAATATTTTATGTGCAATATTATATTTTAAATTTTATTTCTCAATTAATTTTGTAAAATATATAAAATATTTATTCAAAAAAGTAAAATTATATTTTGGTATTTTTCAATTTTACGAAATATATACAAATCTTTGCAGTTACAAATATTTACATCTAGGATGCAATTATATGATTATTTTTAAAAATATTTAATTTTGTACAAATTTTATTAACTATTATTTACCGAAATTTCATATTTTTTCGGATCGAATTTTTTATGTTTAAAAGTACGTCAATTATCTGAAAGATAATTATTCTATACAATTAAACGAAAGATAATGTTAGTTATTGAATTTTTCTTAATAAAGATCACAACTAATAAACAGAATGCACAATCTAACACTGAATTATTTACTATTAAGTTGTTGACCCTCTTTCAGTTTTTAATATTGTATCATTCAGAAAAAATTAAAACAAACCGTGACAAAAACAAACGCTTATCAAAAGAAGGATCTTTTTAAGAAAATTATGGTGTCATTTTTTAAAATCCAAAATTATATCAACTATATTTTTTCGTTTGTTTGTATTTTCGTAACAAATTTTGATGACTCATAAACGTATTATGTGTATTAATAATATAATCGCACATACAGCTTCATCATTAATGAAGTATGAATAATAAAACCTTTATTGAATTATATATATCCGTCATCTAACATATAAAAAATAATTTCTTCAGTTTACATGTATCATTTTTACATATTTTATAGTTCGAATTGTTTTAATTTTTTAATTATTTCAATTCAACATATAGATCATTTGATCGCATTTTAATGCAAAATTAAATGTAATATTAAAAACATTTACATTAAGTATTTAAAGTTCTTTATTTTGTCAACTGAATCCCTAATATTTTTAAATACTATATGTTATATTTAATAGCAGTATTTGTTTTAAAGTTAGGTTAAATTTTTTTTAATTATTATATATTTTTTGATAAACAATTTAATTTATTTATAAAAATTAATTACGTTCCAATTATACGTATTACTTTTAATAACATTAAAAGATATTTTATCAAACACAAAATAATTTTATAAGAATTTAATTAATAACTTAATACAATTTTGCAATACAAATAATTAAAGTATAATTTGGTAATAATTTGATTATTAAATATAAGAATAAAATTACGTAATGCATAATAAGAAAGTAATATAAATTATTAAAAAATTAAATATCAATTAGTAACTAATTTTTTATTAATAAAATATTTTAAAGTCGTTAAACTAAATTTCTTTAACTAATAAATTTGTATTTATACGTATACGACACAAAACTTATACATTTATATTTTCAAATTAAATGAAATTAAATACCTATAAATTAAAGTAAATTTAGTTCCATTTTAAATTTTAAAATAAAATAGAGCCTGTATTTTAATCGAAAACTTTCAAACATTATAAACTCTCCTCTCTTATTTGATTATGAAGATATATAGGAATAAAGAATTGATGTCGAAAGCATGAGTAAAGTTATTACGAAATAAGCATTTTTAATTTCCTAACTACTTACATTATTCTCGTTTAAAATTCTTATGGAATCGTCTCCTTAAGTACAGGAATGAGGCTATAAATCTTTGGATATAGTCGGGATCGCGGTAATTCAATCGTAATTGGCTAATCCTTAATGTACTGTTCCCCCATTTGCTGGAGAGGACGTATTTAAGCCAGTGGCTCAGAAAAATGACTCCATTACCAGCAGGAGGCCAGCAACAAGTGCACATGTAATAGGGCGATCTGTATCTCGCTTCCGCATCTATTTCCGGTCCTTTCAGAACCGACCCCCAATTTGAAATATCTCCCTATTTGTTCAAGCTTGCTGAGGCGGCGTAGGGATTTATTGGTCTGTTAACAACCTTAACAAAACCTCAGTTTGAGAAACTGACTATTGCACAAGTGCGAATAAGCCAAATTTTTTCATTTTTACATATATATGTTGGTATGAAAATGTTAAAATTATAGATGCCACGCTTTTATTGTATTTATGGAAAAATACTTTAAAAAAAACGTTAAATATAGATATATTTTAAGATTTATAATTGTATCCTACAGTTTTCAATGAAATATTTTTTAAAAAGTACTAGACATTATTCCTTTTATTAATTTGTAATTATTAATAGCATTTAATAAAAAAGTTAATTCTTTTTTTTAATCTCTAGAAATTATTTAACTTTATACAAAATTACAATAAAATAAAACAAGGAAAATGCAATAACCAGTCTCTTATTAATTATACTTTTCATTCCTTGAACCCTTTCCAAGTAGGTAGACTTAATTTGTACTACGATATTAAGCCCAAATAAATTAAACTTTCCTTTGCGATATTTAAATCAATCTTTGAAATTAATTTGAATACTAAAGATTTTTCCGGATTTTAATGAATATTACTATCAACATATTACTAATAAAATTGTTGCATTAAATTATAAAATAAAAATGAGTTAATTAATTAATCTTTAATTTATGTAAATACCATGAATTAATATTAACATTTTAATTAAATTAATTTTAATTTAAATATATTAAATTTGATTATACATAATAATTTAAATAATAAAAATCTTTGAATGTTTCTTATTTTAAAATTCATTATAATAATTTATATAATTATGAAATGAAATATTATTAGAATTGCTTACTTTTAATTACAATAACATTAAATATAAATTATATTAAATGATATTGATTTAAAGAATATTAGCACACGTATTCCAATGCTCTTTTATAGTATTAGTAGTTTTAAGATGATCTATTAAATTATTTTAACATTATTTGAAACATAAATTGAAGATTTCAATCTGAGATATTTACCTTTAAAAAATGATTTATAAGATGTAATCAATTTCTAGATAACTTTATAAACATATATAATATATATAAAAATTAAAGTATTGTATAAAAATTAATTATGGTTGCGTAAAATTTTGTTATTAAAAATTATAAAATTATTGTTTATAATATTATTATTTAACAATTACTAACCTTGAAAATATTTATAATTAAAATATTAATACTGTGCAATAATTTATATATACATACATACACTTAAGTATTGAATAAAGCGGTATTAAAAATTAATAAAAGCATACTTGGAGGAATTGTTTAAAAAATGAAATTAATATTTTTATATGAATTTTTGAATTAGTTATACTCGAGTTGATAATGTGATGATTTGAATTAAATTTTGAAACAAAATTGATCTTTAAGAACTGTCTTTATAATTAGAAATAACGTCAGTGCAAATTAATCACTTCAATTTCAATTACATAATGTTCTTGATAAAAATGTAAAATATTTCAAAAATAAAATAATATTAATAGCATGGTTAAATATAAATTATATTAAAAACATTTCATCGTAATTTAATGTATAATTATTTTATTTTATTAATTCAATAACATAAATTAAAAATTTTCGTTTATATATATTTTGTTATTTTAAAATTTATTTAAAAAAATTTTGCTTGGACTATAAAATATTGCCATTGCAATAATTATATCTAATTACATATAAAATTAACTAAAATTTAAGAAATCATAATTCTATGTGATGGATAAAATCAAAGAAATTATTAAATGATTCGTAAAAATGTATACAATTCCTTTTGATGGGGTATATGATCTACGAATTAAAGAAAATTAATTTATTTATAATTATTAAAAAAAAAATTAAATTATTACTACAAAAAATAAGTCAAATCTTTACATTTGTATGTTATGTAAAGGGGGACATATTTGGTGGACTGAACAGTGGCTTGCAGGATGGATTATTATCGAGAGCTGAAGCGTTAGCTGCTGATCTTGGCAAACATAACGGTGGCACGTCGATGCCCTTGAAGCATGACCCTGTCTCAGTCTATCACCATGGGACTCACATGCCCGGTCCCCATCCGAACAATCGACCACACCATCAGGTACAGACTTATTAGTATATATATATATATGTATATATATATATATATATATATATATATAATTTGAATATATGAAATATGGTTTTACTTAGCATGTACATATGCATTTGAGAATTCTTTACAAAATTAACAAACCCTACATATTTTTTATATAAATTATATATAAATTTTATTATTAAAAATATTTCATGTAACAAAATTTGATGTCATGTAACTAAATTATGAGTGTTAATATTATTCATTTAATTATTATTATTTAATTGTTATTGTAGAATATATAATTTCGTCATGTCATTGTATTATTAATTTAATAGAAATGTAAAATGATAAAAATACGATTAGTAATTAATATAAAACTGATTTATCGTTTTGATATTTAAAACAAAATTATTCTTAACTATAGTTTGGTTATTGTCAAATTAGTCGATTTAAAAATCTCAAATTAGATTTTCGCAATTTCTTACTGTCTAATTAAAACGTCACTAATTGGTTTCAATTCAATCAAATTGGTATCGAACTCTCGACCAATATATTTAGTATCTACATACATATTCTAATATCTAAGATATCTAAATTATACATTTTTAATTATTTATTAAAATAATATAGATCCTAAGTGTATCTAATGTTTTTTGTGGTAAAAATATTTGGTAATTGCAATATATTTAATAACATTTTAAAATTCATGGTACAAATTTGTGAGTCATATAATCTAATACAATACATAACTAATTCTATAAAAAAAATTTAATTAGATTTCATACATGAAGTTAGTAGACCAACTTCTATCAAAATATGTATATCCTTAATTAACATATTTTATTATAATAATCTCAAACAACTACAAATATCTTTTTTACATTTATTAACTTTTTACAATTTACATTATTTAGGAATTTAAAACTTTTTAATTTTATCAACCATATAAATTATTAATATTATGCAAAAATAAGATTGGAGTATGAAAAAGTATATTCGTTATAATGCTCTATAATTGGACTGAAAAGCAATGGTGATATATTTTTGTAATTATTCAATTGACTTTTATGAAATAGATTCAATTGAAGATTATAAAATAGATTATGATATTTCATGTAAATGAAGTTAAACGTAAAAAGTAATGTCATGATTGTGTGTAGAATATTGTATAATGAATAAATATTTTTATTACTTTCAGGTATTTATATAAAATTAAAAACAAAATGATTTAGACAATATAAAAAATATTAAAATAATAATATTTTCACAAAATGAAAAAAAGTATTAATTTTCGGAAGGCAAAAAATAAGTAATAACTGTGACTGTGATACACTTGTATAGAATTAAAAATTAAATAACAAATTAAGGATTTACAGAACATCACCAATGTATAAATATAATACCTATATACTTCTTCAAATTAGGATTTTGTGGACTAACAGTTCTCCGCATCTGATTTCACAGGTGGTTGGGTAGCAATTATCAAAGCTTCTCCATTAACTTCATACCTCAAAAATTCAATATGGTGTCCAATAATGAGTTAAGATAGGAAAGAAAATAGTGGGGAGACTAAAAGGCGAGTCGACACGACTTTCGTAACAAGTTTTGCGATGTTTGACCGTCGAAGTAATGATAAAATATTGCTGTAGTTATTAGCCCGTCCCATTCTTATGCCCTTCTATCTTTGTCTAACTCTCATTCCACCATTGCCATTAATTTTCGACTTTTATTTAGTAACTGCTAGTCTCCTTTATTTCGAGAATTTTTCTATTTATACTATAAGCCTATTCTGACGAATTATATCCGTTATTAATGTCCAAATTATTATGAAGCTTGGTTGTTGAATAGCTCGCTTATATCAAATAAATAAAAAGTACCTTTTTAAATATATTAAATATATAATTTTTATCTATTTAATTTTCCATACATTTGTGTACATATAAATTCGAAATAATATTTGTAAGAGAAACATTTATGAGTTTGTTAACCATGAATAAATATTATATAAAAGAATCTTTTTATGGCTTAGAACGCCAATTTTTATAATTTTCAAAAAATAAAATACTTTTTACGTGTTTTAATTATCTTCTATTTCTTATTTAAGTTAAATTAATTCTATTTCTATCTAATCTATTTTTTGTTAACCTAAATTAATTTTTAATTTGTACTATTTCAATATTTTATATTATAATTTAGCATATTTTTATTCGTTAATATATAATTTGTATAAAAATATTATGCGTAAAATATGAATAATTAAAAGAAATGTAATTATAAAAATTCTCATGTTTACAAGTTACACTATTGTTATAAATACATAAATAAAATAAAACTCAAATTTATTCCACCTTCTTCCATTCCATTCATTTTCTCATTAATTTCTTGTTCACCCTCGCGCTACGGTACTTTTCACATACATCTTTCTTCATCGCTCCAAGCTAACTTTCTCTCTAGAGAATCATAGCGAGTATATATATATATATACACACAATCAAACTCGACCCCTGCATAATTCTCTAACCCAAAACTGCAGAGGAGGGCACAATCCCCTTATTATCTGAAACATCGAAGTTCATATGTTCAATATGATAGCATCTCATTTTCAATGATATGATATGTGACGCTTCTTTATTCTTGTTTTAATTTAGTTGCGTCATTTTAAGTTTTAAGTAAATATAGTTTTAGATATTTTTCGATAAAACGGATTCATGAAACATTGTATTCATTCATTCATAATTTCACGATATTTATTCTTCCTTCAACAACTATCAAGATTTTTTAAACCAAAAAATTTGTGAAATCAAAAAATTCTAATAATTTTTATTATTATAAAATAAATACTGTAAAGAAAATCTGAATGCAAGTATGTAATGGATAAGAAATAGGAAAATATTTCCACAAAGTGTTTCGGTTATTTATATATTTGTGTTTTTATTTTATTAATTAGTACAGATATTTTAATTTTCAAGTACTATTAAGTGATTAACTTATTTTTATATTTTAACTATAAAATTAGTTAAATAACAATAATAATATTTTATTATTGAGAATATCGCTAAAGCCTATTTCAACAATTGTCAGTTTGTTCAGAGTCATTTAATCAACTATAATTTTTATAGTTTTCAAAATTACTGAAACCAATAAAGTCAATTTATTATTATCAATTTATTGCATATAATATATTTTTAAAATATGAAAATGATATATTAGAATACAATAAATTATAAAATAAAAGCGATGTTAATTCGATCGGAATAAATGCTAATACAAATTATGTTATTTTTGAAAAATGACACAAGTATTTATTTACTTTCTAATAATTAATTATTTAATAAACAATAAATATATTTGAATTTTTTATATGATTTCATATATTATATGTGTAATATAGTGTATGCTATATGAATATTAACATAGATAGTTGTACAATCTTATTTAATAATTATTAAACAACGAATTTTATATTTATTTATATATTTTATGAATATAAAAGCAAATTGAAGTAAATGAATTATTTATATCTATAATTATAAATACAAAAATACGAAATTTATTACTTTTATAAGGGTTAGATATTTTTAAAATATTTCATTTCAATATTTTTTTTATTTTTCATTACATAATTCATCATATAATTCAATTATATTTTTATTTATGTTTAACTTTTTATTTGTATTATGCTCAAATTTAAATATAAATAAATAAATAAATAAGTAATTAAATAAATAAATAAATAAATATATATATATATTATTTATTAATTAACAGAAAATATAGCTTTTTCTATCAAAACTTGCTCAATTTTTTTTATCAAGTAAATGCATAATAAGTAGAATGGTAAAATCAAAAAAAGAAGTACATTTCCTGAATATGAACTTCCATGCTTATAAAAGCAAGTATTAACATGATACGATACACGTAAGAATCCAAAACTAGTATCAAGTGCGCAGCCCAAGCGGAACGCAGGTGCGTCAGCTGTCGATTGTTGGTGCATCACGGCTGTTACGGCTGCAGGGGGTAGGCGGTCTGAAAAAGATAACGTGAGGGGAATTCATAAATAATTTGCTAGGGGTTGTGAGAGCCGTCAGTAATGTCTCATGTAAAAATGATGCAAGGCACGTGTTGAATAATGACATCATGCGTGTGTCTCACATCTATTTTTCCTTTTTTATTTCATTGTTTCGCGAAACCCACGCTTCCGGTCACAAGTAAAGACGGTTCAAATGAGCCCCTACTTTTGTCGCTTTTAGGGAATACTGAATTGTCGCTAATAATTTGGTTGCGTGTTTTCATTGAGAGCTCTACAAATTACACGAGTTGAAGCCCTACACATTATAATAACATAATGGATAAAGTGTAGATTTTTCAATTAACGAGGACATTATATATCTTAGTTATATGATATTAATGTAGTGTATGGACAATATATTTATATTATTTATTTTAAAATACAACTATTCAGTATATCTATTTATTACCTATATAAGTACTTTCACATGAAAACTATTTCTTTGAATTTATGAATCTATGAATTTATCTTTATTTTTCAAATGAGCAATTATATTTTATAAAATTTATATCTAAAATACTTATTTACATATTATAAGTTAAATAATAATATTTGATTTTCAAACATTATAAAATCTCGCGTTTGTTCAATTTATGATAGCGATACGAGTTAACCAATTCTTTACATTCAAATAATAGTTAAGTCATTATAATTAATTATTTAATATAAACATAAAATAATCTATTATATTCCATCATTATTCTTTGATTATTGAATAACATTTAAAATACCCAAAAGGAAATTATAAGGTTAATTCATAAAACAATGTTGGAGTTATTTAAAAAAATTTCAAATAGTGTAACTTTGAGATTTTATAAAAGCAGTACTTAGTATTATTGAAATTAAATAATGTTTAGAAGAAAGTACAAAAATAAATTTAGAAATATGTCTTTTTTTCTTTATCACAAATTAAGTAAGGATTTGCTTTAAAAATATTGTTTCAAATTTTTATTTTTAATCTATTCATTAATTAATAATTATATTATTGTTTAATACTGTGTAACAGTTAAAAAAATATTAACTATTAATTATAATGTAAACATCTTATTTTTATGAACATTTAAAATATAAATTCTATAATAATTTTAATTTTTTTCTTTATAAAGTTTCTTAGAATCGATGATTTATAAGTTTCATAATTCAGTGTAATAAACAAAATAAATAAAAATAAATGTAAAAAATCAATTTTTTTAAAGTAAACTACATTCAGTTACGTGCTTTAAGCATAAGAATGGAATAATTTATATTTAAACTTCAAATCGGAAAATATCTAATAATTGATAACCATAATTTTGAAGTATAAATAAATAATTATAATTAATAAATAAAATGAATGAATAAAATTAATAAATAATTATTGAATAATTTTTAAAACATGAAATGAATAATTATATATATTTCATTTTGGATTAACTGAATAGAAAATTTCACTAATAAACGAATTAAAATTATTTTAAACTGGAAAAATTCAAATAGTTCAAATCGTTAAAAACGAAGCAGATAATAATGAAATTTTTACACACATTATAATATAATAATACAATACAATAATCTAAGTTTCGAAAGTAATTAGTTTTCTGTAGTTAAATAGTAGGGCATGCTCTTAGCTCTAGTAATATATGAATGACAACTGGAACCCTCGGAGAGTTCGAAATTTATAAAGTGGATGAAGATCTCAGAATAATTGAATTATTGAGTACAATTCACTTCTCATATACGATGACTTGAATTCAATCCATTGTAAAGATGATTTCCAGTTTTGTATTTTACGCGAGCAGAAAATCTATTTCTATTAATACTAATCTAATAATAATAATTAATTATGTATACATATATATATATATATATATATATATATATATTGCTCTTTTTGAGATTAAAAAAGAATGTGAAACTCTTTAAATTTCTCTCGCTATTCTTTTATTTTACTTTTTTATTTTATCTCTGTATAAAAATTCCAAAATATATGTTATATGCTAAAGAAAATTATTTTTAGTTAATGTGACCCAAAAGTATAATAATGATACAATCATAAGCAATAATATCAGGTTTACAATTTACTGAATAATATAAAAATTTACAATATACTGTAGATTTTTGTATACATAAGTTTTACGATTTTTTATTTAAAATGAATTCATGGATTGTAAATATATTCCGCTGTTGTTGAATTAATTAGAATAAAATCACATTTCATAAATATCCTGAAAATCAAGTTAATTTTTTTTATATTCTGAAGGAAACTGCAATTTGATAATATATTATCCATTAGTTCGCTAAAATTTAAAACTAATGACAAGTCATATAAAATTAAGGAAATTTTATTTTATAATTTTTAATTTATTATGTAAATATAATTTATAAAAAATACAAATATAAATTATACAAAAGTTAACACAAACACTAAAGTAATGGTGGAAGAAAATATATATATATTCAATTAAAATTAAAATTAAACATGATTTCTTAAAATACATTTTTCTTAGTGCTTGAAATAGAAATTGAGAAAATATATAACTTTTTACACAATAATTTAATTATTAATTTAAAATGCCCGTCTAAATTATAATTGAAAAATAATTAATAACTATTCAACCCGTTACATAGTTTTTCATAGACAGATGTAATCATATGATATAAATAATTTGTTATACCGTTCATCAAAACTATGAATTATCATTTTTAATGTAGTTATTCTTTGTACGTAGTATATAATTAGTTAATTATCGATCTATTTACTTAAAGATAATAAAGGCATGTGTTTTACATTAATTCTATTCATTTTTATTTTCATAAATATAAAAACAAAGTCGATACATATAATTAATAGTGATCCTCATATTTTTAATTTTAGATGAGCCATCCTAGTATGGACTCCCTCGACATGATGGACCCTGCTAATTCAATGACAACTCTCACACCTATGTCTGAGGGTGCTACTGGGGGCAGTGGAGGAAGTGGAGGTGGAAATAATCCTGGGCACCACGGTAGCATCCACGGGCCCTCTGTGTACGGGAGTATGAATGGTATGATGAGCCATCACCATCATCACGGTCAAATTGGTGGTAGTGTGCCTCATCCTCACCATCATCCTGCAATGGCAGCTGCAGCAGCAGCAGCTGCTGCAGCTGGACTTCATCCTGACGCAGATACTGATCCACGAGAACTTGAAGCTTTCGCCGAGCGATTTAAACAGCGACGTATCAAACTTGGTGTCACGCAGGCCGATGTCGGCAAAGCATTGGCCAATCTTAAATTACCGGGAGTTGGTGCTCTGTCGCAATCGACAATATGTCGTTTTGAATCGTTGACATTATCCCACAATAACATGATAGCTTTAAAACCGATATTGCAGGCATGGCTTGAAGAAGCTGAAGCCCAAGCTAAGAATAAGAGAAGAGATCCAGACGCGCCTTCCGTTTTACCGGCCGGAGAGAAAAAACGCAAACGTACCAGTATTGCAGCTCCTGAAAAGAGGTCTTTGGAGGCTTATTTTGCTGTACAGCCAAGACCATCGGGAGAGAAGATTGCTGCGATCGCGGAAAAGCTTGATTTAAAGAAAAATGTGGTGAGGGTCTGGTTCTGTAATCAACGTCAAAAGCAGAAGCGTATGAAATTCGCTGCTCAACATTGACCCGAGGCTAGCTTGTGACAGCAAAACTGACTGTACCAGCCGCCAAGCCTCGAACCCAAGCCTGAGCCACTCAACGAATATCAGGGCTGGCCCTGAATTTGTTGATGGTAATTAAGCTTTCACAAAATACGTCATTTTAGATAGACGCAGTATTGTAAGTACGAAGCTAAAAATCTAGTTTTGATCATGGCCAAGTGATATTTTGAGAGCACAGTGCCAATTTATTTCCATACAAAGATATATTTCACATATAACAAATTTTATTTATAGCTATTTCAAGAAATATGTATTTTAATATACTACACCTTTTCTACTTAAAATTAAATATAATATTTTATTTAAATCTTAGTAAAATTATATCAAATTTTTAAAAGTACAAATTTTGTATTTAAATTAAAACCAATTTTATTTCAGTTTTTATTCATCAATACGAGTGATCAAAGTATTCTACAATATAAAAATCTAAACAGAAAGTAGCATATTTTTAAATATATTTTATAATTTATTTATAATATTTTTGTAAAATCTTATATACTTCTGGAAAACCAAAATTTTGATAAATTTTTAAATTATATTACTTTTTCAAATATATGAAAATTACTTTTTATGTAAATAAATTCTAACTAATGTATTTTATGTTTAAAAAAGTGAAATTATTTTTTAAATTAAATTTTAATTATAACAACATTTAAATACTATCAGAAAATAGCTAATTTATGAAAAACATTTCCTTAAAGGCTAGTATATATAAATAATAACCCTTCACAATAAAATAATTGTAATCTGATAAATGGCTAATAGATTAATTTATTTAATATTTATTTTGAAATAATTATAATATTATAATAAATACATTTTTAAAGTTATGAAATCTTATTAAATAATATTATTTTATAATTTAGGCACTGCACAAGTTCAAAAATTCAATCTAACAGGATCGCTTAAACTAGAAATCTTTAGCATCGTACATACATAAAGTGCGATCTTAGTGGCGATGGTTCGATTCAATGGCGGATCTAAATAAAGTTATATTCTGTCACAGGCTAATACGTATTTTTTTATCGTTGTACATTTGTAAGCTCTAAATGTGCACTCGTGCATTAAATGTTTTCGCTCATTTCGCATCACATAACAAGTTCCACTCTATGTTTAAGAAATAAATGAGATGCTTCTTTATTAAATTTTCATATGTTCACATTCCTTAAGAGGAAAAACTAAGAAATTCAATTTTTACATAAGAAAATTAGTGAATCATTGATGAGGTATTAAACAATATCTTCAGAAATGAATTAGTCTTACCATTGTAAATTATTAACTAAGAAAACTATTCATTATTTATAATTTTTATAGTTTGTTTGATTTTAATTCATAAAATATCAATTATGAAACTAAGGGTAAAATGTTAGAAAATTAAAAAAATATATAAAAAGAAGATTAAAAAACATCATATAACAAAACATGCACTAATCAAAGCTTAAATAAAAAATATAGTTTATTAATAATTACAAGTATATTTTTAAAATTATTTTTCAACTATTTATTGAACATTAAAATTGCATTTATATTACTTTGATAGATATCTGTTAATGAAAAAATTATCGTATTCCATATTTACTTCCTCAAAATCTAAAAACAGCTTGCCTGTTAATATAATATAAGTGCCGAGTGTTTAAATTTGAACGTCATAAATCAATATTGAAAAATATCATATTTTCAAGTAATTATTTAATTCATGTATAAAGATAAAATTTTGTACAAATAAATAACAAATTCAATTAATTTAAATAAAACACTGGATAACAAAATTAATTTTTATAATTGATAAATTTGATTTGTTATCACTAAGTTTTTCATTTACGAATTAAATTAAAAATGTGAACATTAATATTTAATATTAAAAACTATTCAAAAAAAGTTTTAAAAACAAATGCTATAAATATAATAATTATTATCCCCTCATATTTAAAAAAAGTATTGTTCAAAATATAAGATTTTATTTTGATCTACAATCTATAAACTTTTTATAAAATCTTAATTTAGTTTATAATGTAACTAAATATTTTTTTAATTTTAATGATTTCGCCGAAATTTATTGCTCTATGCATGTTTATTTGCATTTATGTAAATGAATGACAAAAATATTATTCAATTCAGAATTTCAAGAAATAAAATTAAAAGCAATCTATTATAATTATAATATTTGAACGTTACATCTTAGTACATTTCAATAAACTTCATAAGTTATATTATAACTTATGAATCAATTTATAAAAAATAATCATACAAATTTGGATAATATTCCACTTTAATTTATTTGAAAAATATGTCCCCTTTGGATCTTATGTCATTTGAAACAATATAATTACTATTATTATTTATAAATTATCATTTAAACTTAAATAATTAGTATTATTATAAGTATTATTATTTATAAATATCATTTTAAATTAAGTATATGAATTCAAACAGGAGAAAAATAAATATCAATTTCATCTATTAGTTACCAAAAATATTAAAAATATTACCTTTCTTAAATTTCTATTTTTATGAACTAAACCTTTCTTTATTTTAAAAATTATTGTAAATGATTTTATAATTATAATTTTTTTATAAAATGGATAATGCATTATTATAGTTATCATCAAAATTAACATTTAAGAGCTTTTTATATGATCAATTTAATTTTTAGTTCTTGAATAATAAGTTTCCTTTTTTTGTTTGTGTTCTTTATTGGAAATCTATCAATGAAAAAAGTATAGTCTGAATAAAATCTGAACTAGACTATTGAATTCAGACATATAGCAAATTATAAAAGCAATTCGGCCAAGCAACATTGATCCATTGTACACGCTACCGCGGAAACAAATCTATGCGACTGCGCGACGATCGATCGCGCACAGCTGAATTTTATAAATAGAATATTCACGTCGAGTATACAAACGTTAAGGTACACTACGAATTAGTTATTATTATGATGCTTAGTTAGAGCACACATGTATTTTCATTTACTCAAAGAATAGATAACTATAGATAATACTCGATTAATATGATTGCATATATTGAATTATCTATTCTTCATTTATTGTCAAATAAAAATTATTAGTACTATTGCTATTAGCGTGAGAAATATTGAATATTTACATAAAAATGTTTAATACTCTTTATTTAATTTTAATAACCACGCCTTTGGATACATTAGAGTAGTTCTAGATAACATTCTGACATTGGGCACTATCTATTTAAATAATAAAATGTAAACTTATTTGCAATCAATAAATTTAATATTGATAGAATAATAATAAGGTTACTTATTATAACATGTTGAATAATATTATCTCACAAAAATTTTTAATATTTTATTTTATAGTATTTTATTATGTATAGAATTTAGGTAAACTGAAAACAAATAATTTTTTCCATTATGTTTTTAATAATATATACACGTTAAGTCGATTAGAAATTTACAAAATTGATTTTTCATTTATTCATTCATATTTTATATTATTTATATTATTAATAATATTAAAATTAACTGGTAATAATGTTATAATATTTTGTTGCATTTATAACATAATTATAAATATTAAGTTATTTTACAACTATTATACAATTTCAATTCTAATGTTCATTTTTAACTTAAAACATTAGTTTAAAGTAAATAATTGATAAACAAAAATTAATTTAAAAATGATATAAATAATATATGATAATTATGAATTTCTATTATTTTAAATTAATTTTAAATTACTAATTAATTTATTTTAATAAAATTTAATAAATAATTAATCTACCGTTTATTTGTTATATGTGTTTATAAGTTTGTGAATATAAAGTTGTTTAATTTTATATTAAAATATTCGTTTATGTCTACAATTTTCTTATTAAAAAATTAAAATTCAATTGAAGTTTATTCAATATAGTTTCTATTTTTAAAAGCATTTACAAATATGAATTACATAGAATAAAAAAATAATATATCCGTGATGCGAAATATTCGAAACGGATAAAGCGCTGTATAATGTATGATGAATCTGAAATATTTTGAAAAGTACAATTTGAAACATAATTTATGTAGTGTAAAATCATAAAAGTATTGTTATTGAGAGTCCGGATTTATACTATGACTCGAGGAAAGTGATATTAATCCTAATTGATTTCATACGTGTGTAGGTTCGCAAAAATATGATATATTGATTTCTTTCTAATTAGTGAAAGCTCATAGTGATTATCATAACGAACAAAATTTTAAACAATGGAATTATGTTTAACAATAATGTGTAAAACTCTCTAATTAGTCAAACAACAAGATCAATGAAATCCAACCAATGCACACGTAAAGGAATAAGTGAATTTCACATACTAGTAGTGATATTGGACAATCAGTGAAAAAGACTGTATCATATCATTAAAAACAAAAACGAAGCAATATCTTTAGAAATATTATTAATGCTAAATGGCTTAAGAAGATGAAAGTTGCATTAGTAACTTTGCTTTTTCCTAATGATCTCAAGAAAAAAGACCACCATATACTCCAACAATCTTATCGGCACAAACGAAAAATGGAAGTAAAATAAATGTGAATTCGATATATTATTATTGAGTAGGAAAAAAGCAACAGACAAGCTCTATTATAATAATAACTACGATTTATTACAAATTTTTCATATTTAACTTGATGTGTATAATTCCTTTTGAAAAATAAAAAAATAGCGAAGGTCCCAATAAAAATAATAATAATTTTTTTCTCATAAAATTCGTATAAATACAGCGGTGAATTGGGAAATAAGGCATTATAATTATATAAATGTAAATGTATAATGTATTTGTATCAGCGCTTATTATTTGTATTTGATACTCTGAAGCATCTTTCTTTTCCAAAGCAAATGAAGAAGCCAAATCGAATATAAATAAATAAATCATCTTCATTATAAATAATATTAATAAAATTAAGAATTAATGGAATAATTATTTGAAAAATAACTAATCGGATCGTGCAAAATCAATAAAGTTGCAGCCCATTTTTAAAATTGTACATAATTTAGAGAATAAGTATTTCTTAGGGCTGTAAATAAGGCAATGTTGAAAAAATCTAATTTAATTTGGAGTATTCGGACATGTAAATTTAAGTAACTAAGAAA